TGAGCTTTAACCTTTCTGTGTCATTCCACCCAGGTATTGCCATATTCTGCATGCTGTTAACTTATTATATGTGGATCAAAGCCGTCAAAACCGGCTCCATCTATTGGGCAGCGATGTGTGCTCTCGCCTATTTCTACATGGTAAGTACTCCTTCCCCCAGCGCCAAGCTTTTTCTGACTCCACTCTGGATATACTGACTGAAAATACACGGTGTGCCCTTCCTGCAGCCTTATTTTGGGGGAGCTAGAACCCCTGTAAAGGGTTTGGTGTGAAAATGGAATGAATGATTTCTTCATCTGCTTCCACTTATCAAAACTAGCACTTTTCTACACGTGATTTTATTAACAGCATTAAAAAATCTTGGTTTCTGTCAGCTGTGAGCGTTGAGGATGCCCTTAGAGAGAGCACATCTCAGCTGGCTTTGCTGCTGGGTGAAAATCCTGCACAAGATCCCAGGAAAAATCAAACCTGCCGCGTTTGACCTCTGCTGTTCAACCTCTTCAGTCCTGGAACTTGTGGGGTTTTTTTGTCTGTTTTCTCTCTCGGCAGGTCTCCTCGTGGGGTGGCTACGTCTTTCTGATTAACCTCATCCCCTTGCACGTTCTTGTGCTGATGCTGACTGGCCGCTTCTCCCACAGGATCTACGTAGCTTATTGCACAGTCTACTGCTTGGGAACCATCCTCTCGATGCAGATCTCCTTTGTTGGCTTCCAGGTGGGGACCAGGATGATTTGCAGGCTCGAGGACAGGCATTTTATGGGTCATTTCATGGATTGTAGCAGAACAACAGCGAGTTGGCACCTGGTTTCTCCTCTTGCCTTCACTGTTGACATTATAAGTGACTTCTGGTTCTAGCTCTTACTACGCTGATTCGTTGCAACCTTTGGCAAGATTAGTTTTGGAGGTGCTGGATGACTTTCAAAGCTGCTAATAACCTTCACAGCACTGGTTGCCTTCCGTGAAAATATTTCTGGTTTCAGTGAAGGAAATGCTCGCACCAGCATGCGTCTTGGTATAGCAGGAAAAATGCCCACTTAGCTCACATTTTCAAGAGAATCAGTTACATTTTCCATGTGAATTCCTACCTGGGAATTGAAGCTGATGTAAGAAAGTAACTCATGGCAGCTGCCATCCGTGGGGAGGGGACTGTTTGCCGTGAGTTTGGCAGCAATTTTGCTGTGAAGGGATTTGTAAAAAAAAAAAAAAAACAAAAAAAACCGGATATTGGGCCCAGCACAGCTCTTGTTCTCCTCCGTGTCTGATCACGCTCTCCCCTGCTCGCAGCCCGTCCTCTCCTCGGAGCACATGGCTGCCCTCGGAGTCTTCGGCTTGTGTCAGATCCACGCCTTTGTTGACTACCTTCGGAGCAAGCTGAACCCACAGCAATTCGAAATCCTCTTCCGAAGTGTCATTTCCCTGGTTGGCTTTGTCCTCCTCACCATCGGGGCCGTGCTGATGCTGACAGGTAACCTGAGATGGTGTCAATGAGCATGTTTCACCACCAGCTTTCCCGTTTTTTTTTTTTTGGTTTTTTTTTTTTGGTTTTGGTTTTGGTTTTTTTTCCTTTTCCTCCTTTGAAGAGCATGTAATTTGTCAATCCTAACTCTGCCTTCCTGCCTACACTGTAGTTTTGGTGCTTGCAAGTCCCCCTCCCAGGGGGAGGCTGGGACCTGCCCTAATTTGTGCATTAACAGGAAAATATTTCACAAGCAGCTGTGTAAAATCTGGGCTCCGGGTGATGCAGGGTGCAGAGAGAAACCTGCTGTGACTCAGCAGGGACGCTGAGCTGGTGCTTCAGAAACTGAATGTCGATCTGTAGTAGCGAAGAGATGCTAAAAATAAGGTCGGGTGGGGGAGAAGTCTTTTTAGGGTAAAATTGCACTATTTCCTTTCTAAAATGGTCGTTTTGAGTAATAGAGATGTTAAACAAGGCCCAGGATTGCTCACTCAGCCTTGTACATGTTTCATGTGTGAGAGAACATATCAGCGTTGCTGGTTACTCTGATGGAACTGAATATGTTGTTTTTTTCTTTTTCTCTTTCCCAGGGAAAATCTCCCCATGGACGGGGCGTTTCTACTCCCTGCTGGATCCTTCCTATGCAAAGAACAACATCCCCATCATCGCCTCCGTCTCCGAGCACCAGCCCACCACTTGGTCATCCTATTACTTTGACCTGCAGCTTCTGGTTTTCATGTTCCCGGGTGAGCCCAGCACAGACGTCGTCAGACCCTTATTTATTCAGTCACCGCGTGAGACCGGAAGGGTTTTATTCCACCGCAGCCTGCCCTCTCCTCGCAAGTCTGCGGAGGCTGTGTGCTTCTGCCGGCTGTTTTTTATTTCAAGCAACAGCTTCCAAGATGAACCTGACCTTTTTTCTCTTTCCTCTTCGTAGTCGGTCTGTATTACTGCTTCAGTAACCTCTCGGACGCCCGCATTTTCATCATCATGTACGGCGTGACCAGCATGTACTTCTCCGCTGTGATGGTGAGGGCTGCTGCCTGCTGGGCACGAGCATGACAACAAAATGGTTTTAACCTGGATTTTATCTATTTTTCTGAACTCGATGATGATGTTTCTTCCACCCTGAGCGGGCTAAAATGTTTGCAAGGCTTTTCTCCCTTCCTTAAAACCAGTTTATTCACCCTTTTGCGCAGTGAGGGAGCGTGACCTTGCAAAACTTTCTGGTTTTGGTGTTACTTGCTTCCTTACAGCCACGGCTGTCCGCCCATGGGTCTCTGTTCTTGGTCTCCCATAGCTGAGTTGCAAACCCAAATAAATTCGCCAGGTATCTGAGCAGGGACCAATAGCAACCGACTGCTTAGGAGCCCATTTCCATTCTTGCTCCATCACCCCGAGCCCTAAATGCAGGTTGATTTCTGGTGTGGAGTCATCTACTAGTTCTTGGCGCCACCATGGAGTTAAAGGGTGTTAAATTGAGGTCACTTCTGCCCATTGGCCAATTTTGAGGGCTTCAGAGAACTCCCCTCGGTGGCATCTGAGATGGTGGCAACTGCCCCTCTGCCCCCACTAAAAAAATCAGCTCCAAGTTTATCTCGAGGCTGATGTTTCCACTGAATTTGAGATGCTGAATTAGGGATAGCATTTAATTTCTTTCATTTCTGAGATTTTTGCCTGGATTTCTTCTCCAACCAGCACCAACAGTTCTGCTCTTACCTGTAGGTGCGTCTCATGCTGGTGCTGGCCCCGGTGATGTGCATCCTCTCCGGCATTGGGGTTTCTCAGGTGTTGTCCACCTACATGAAGAACCTGGATATCAGCCGGCCGGACAAGAAGAGCAAAAAGCAGCAAGATTCCACCTATCCCATCAAAAATGAAGTGAGTGTTGGGCCAGCTTGGGCCTACTCCTGATGGGGCCAAGTGTGGGAGGCTGATGGCCTCTTCCCTCCAGCATTGACCCCGATTTGTTCCCCCAGGTTGCCAGTGGCATGATCCTGGTCATGGCTTTCTTCCTCATCACGTACACTTTCCATTCCACCTGGGTGACCAGCGAGGCATACTCCTCCCCCTCCATCGTGCTGTCTGCCCGGGGCGGCGATGGCAGCAGAATCATCTTTGATGACTTCAGAGAAGCTTACTATTGGCTGCGTCACAACACACCGGAGGTAAACGATGCAGGGGGAAGTTCAAGTGTTGGGGACCCACTGTTGTCCCCTGAGGTGCTGACGTCTGGTGTTTGGCCGCAGGACGCGAAGGTGATGTCCTGGTGGGACTACGGGTACCAGATCACCGCCATGGCCAACCGGACCATCCTGGTGGACAACAACACCTGGAACAACACGCACATCTCCCGCGTCGGTCAGGTAGGTCCTTCCCTCGCCTGCTGCCTTGCCCTGCCTGCCTGGGGCACCACATGACGTGACTGACACTGCGTCTGCTCCAGGCGATGGCATCCACGGAGGAGAAAGCCTACGAGATCATGAGGGAGCTGGATGTCAGCTATGTGCTAGTCATCTTCGGAGGCCTCACCGGGTATTCATCCGACGGTAAGATCTCACTCCGAGCTGGGTCAGACCCATCCATGGGGCGCTGGTGGTGAAGGCTTCTCTGACACAGCTCTTGGAGGAGCCAGGTCCCACCTTCGTCTGAGGCTGCAAATGGTACCAAAATGCTCTTCTTGGAAGCTGCACATACCTTTTTTGCTCTCCCCCAATCCAATCCCTCGCTCTTGGCTCCCCAACCCAACCCCTTGCTTTTTCACCTCAACTCTTTGCTCCCCACCTTTCAGATATCAACAAATTTCTGTGGATGGTGCGGATCGGGGGCAGCACGGACACAGGGCGCCACATCAAGGAGCACGACTACTACACCCCCACAGGGGAGTTTCGGGTCGACCGCGAGGGCTCCCCAGTGCTCCTCAACTGCCTCATGTACAAGATGTGCTACTACCGCTTTGGCCAGGTGTACACAGAGGCCAGTAAGTCCCCAAAACCACCCTCTGTGGGGGGTGACACCACTTTTGGGGTGCTCAGCTGTGCCCCCACCGCCTTTGGGGTGCGATGCAGCAGCACTGCCTGGACTCTGCCCTCTTCTAGAGCGACCGCCGGGCTATGACCGGGTGAGGAACGCTGAAATCGGCAACAAGGACTTTGAGCTGGATGTGCTGGAGGAGGCGTACACCACAGAGCACTGGCTGGTCCGAATATACAAGGTATGGCCCGAAAACCACCCCAAACCCCCAGATTTGGAAAAAATATTAGATTTCCCCTAACCTAGTGGGTTTGTTTTTTTTACCACCAGGTGAAAGATTTGGATAACCGTGGCTTGTCAAGAACGTAGAGGAGCCACTGCCGGCTGCGCCGCGCACCGCACTGACCCAGCCTTTGCCTGTGAAACAGAAATATTTTGGGTTGTTTTTTTTCTGGGGGGGGGTGGTGGGGATGTTTTGGTTTTGTTTTATACCGTTTGTAAGCGCAGGCAGCAGTGGGACACCCCTACCTGTCCCTGCCTGCCGGGGAGTGATTTTTTTATATACACACACATGCACGGAGCGTTCGCCAAATCGGAAGTAACGGCTTTAACCGGGGGTTGATTAACGGGAAATTACAAATAATAATAATAATTAAAACCCGATATTTTGGTGGGCTTTTTTCCCCGATTCTGTTGGGGTTTTTGGTTGTTTTTTTTGATTTTGGGGGCGTTCTGCTGCTTTTACCCGGGCGTTGGGTGGGTTGG